CCGGGGGACTTGTGTGGGGGGGGGGGGGTCCTCCGGCCCCTGTCCCGTCTGGCCTTACAGCGGGCGCTCTCGACTCACTCTGCGCCGGCGTCTCTCGGCTCTTTCCCAAGCGCCTTTATCCTCTTCCAGGACTTTATTTTCTTCTGCGATGCTGTAGCCTCGTGGGTGAGCCCTAAGGATGACCTGCGGGACATGTTTTATAAGGTAAGTCCTGGGTTGCCGGGGGAGGGGCTTCACCCGGAGCCCCCAGTTCTGTACAGCGGGCGCTCTCGACTCACTCTGCGCCGGCGTCTCTCGGCTCTTTCCCAAGCGCCTTTATCCTCTTCCAGGACTTTATTTTCTTCTGCGATGCTGTAGCCTCGTGGGTGAGCCCTAAGGATGACCTGCGGGACATGTTTTATAAGGTAAGTCCTGGGTTGCCGGGGGAGGGGCTTCACCCGGAGCCCCCAGTTCTGTTAGGGATCAGCTATGCAGACTAGTAGGAGGGAGGGGGGGTTCTGAGTTGGTCTGAGCGTTCAAGTGACTTCCTTGGCATTGCAAGCAGGTGAATCGCCAGGTGTTATTTACTTGCTGACTGAGAGGGAGCGCTGTTCAGTGGTTAGAGCGGGGGAGGGCAGGACTCCTGGGTTCTGTTCATGGCTTTGGGCAGAAGGGTGGGATCTCTCCAGCTCTGCCACTTACAGCCTCTGTCATCCTTGTCTGCAAACGGCAGCGCCCGTCTGCAGGGGGCTGGTGGCTCGGTTGGGCGGGCAGATGGGCAGTAAGTAGAGGTGCTGCAGGCGTTGGGCGGATTGAGTAGCCTCTGCAGTGGGCCCCCAGCGTGAATCCCTGTGGCAGGGCTGGCCGTGTCTGCAGCTCCAGCTTCCGTGGGACTCCACTTCTTCCCTGTGGCGCTAACTGCAGGGCACACCCGGGGTGCCGCTGCGGCTCTTCTGCTGAGCCAGGACTCTTGCAGTAACCGGGCTGCGGGCGCAGCCGTGAGCCTGGGTTCCCCCCTGCCCACGCGCCGGCTTGTGCAGTGGCATCTTGCTGCTCTTTGTCTTCAGATCCTTCATGGCTTCAAAGACCAAGTTGGCGAGGAGAACTGGCAGCAGTTCTCGGAACAGTTCCCCCCTCTGCTGAAAGAGAGGCTAGCGGCGTTCTACGGGGTCTAGGCAACACAGAGAAACCGTGCTAGGTGAGTTTGGACCAAGGGGCCGTGGCCGGTTCTGCTGGATCAGCCAGTGCGGTGGTGGGGGGGGCCTGGGGTTTTTGCTCCCATTCTCGGGGGGCTAAAACCATTAATCCCCCGCCCCCCCCGTGCCTCTGGCAAATGGGGCTTTCCAGTGTTAACAAGTTCAGAGCCCTTTCCAGAGGGCTTCATGTGACCTGTGTGTAACCTCACCTAACTGGTGCCCTCTCTCTCTCTCTCTCTCTCTAGGTTCCTGTATGTGCTGGGAGGGTTACTGGGAACTCGTCCACAGGTGTTGCAGAGCCCTGTTAATGGGGGGTTAGGGAGGAAGGGAGGAGCAATGTGGGACATAAAATGACTTCCCTCCCCATCTCCTGACATTAAAGGGGGGGACCTCCGAGATCAATTCAAACAAGCAACCAGGGAATCTCAGTGGTTGGGAAAAGGGGCTCTTTCCCCTTTTTTCCAGAGGTCATCTCTGGTAGAGGGGGAGGGGGTGGGAGTTGGCCGTGGGCCAAAATCGGGGAGCGATCTTAAAATGCAACACTTCCTGAGAAGGGGATCTAACTAGGGCCATAATAGAAAAGGACTAGCTTTATAATAATATAATTGTAAACAATAAATTAAAGGCTAGGTTTTAAAAACAGACATGAATAAACAGCTAAAATTGGATAAAAAGTGCGAATGGTGAAAACGCTAGCTGTCGAATAGAAGGGTTCAACTATAATAAACACAAGGGGTTATACTACTGTATAAATATTACCAGTCACCGGTGTTTGAGATCAGCTTTTCCTCACCTCTTCGAGACTGCATGGTGACAGAAGTAGACTAGCAATCCTGTGAGTAGCCCATAATTAAGTGTAATCGTTTTTCATCTAGAAACTTAAATCAGCAGGGAAAAAAACCCACCCTTTTCTGAAATAGTTTCCACGGCGTCATTTACTGGACGCGATGCACAAAAAATCCCAACTCATAAGGACCTCCTGAGTTGAAATCCAGTCGATTTCTGTTGGGAAGGGGGTCCTTGTAACACATACTGTTGGAGAAGCATGTTTAAAAAAAATCAATCTACAGTGCAGTGATTAACCTTAACCTCTTAACCTATCCTTCAGCTACAGACGGAGGAAGGCGAACGTGACGAGGGTGGGGATTCCGAGTGATGCAGTTGCATTGTCCATAGGCTAGATATCCAGTCTCCGCTTGGTTTATAGCGTACCTGATCAGAGAGGTGTACTGCACTCCGTCCGGAGTAACATCATTCATTACGGTTAATTACGCTTTCTGTCTTAATGGAGTTTATGCCACATCTGCCACTTCAGTTTACAAAATAAATCAGGGCAGTCAAGATAGCAGAGCACGGAGGGGATGGAAGTGTAGCTTTGTGTAGGCAGCCGTCAGATTTCTTGTTAAGATAAGTCCATAAATTCTGCTACATGCTCCGTTGGAGTCTTAGCAAAAGACTCCCATAAATTTTACTCCCTGGTTTTTTAAAACCAAGAGATCGGGGATGGTTATGCTGAAAGCTCTTGACTTAGTGTAACCACAGCTTTTTAACTGTCTGAGGGAATGTGCTGTGAAACCATCTTATGACAGCCTGCATGTTTTTTGACTTGCTGTTAGTCATAAGGTAGCTGGGAGTGGGGAGTACAAGAATAATTGAGGGGGTGGCAGGGTGCTTTCTAGTTGTCGGGAGGAGTCTGACTGTTGGATCTGTCTGGAATCAACTGAGCTGTGGGCTGCAGAGAAACCATTTCCCAAAGAGCCAAGGGAAATGCCAGTTCTGCAAGAAATGCGCCGCTGGGACACTGAATTTCTCCAAGTGCAGGATGGGGAGAAGTCTTCACCAGCGCCTTCCTGGGTTTCTGCTTTCTGACTTTAAAGAAAAACAAACTGAAAGTCACTCAGGTGACAGCAGGACCAACCTGTGGTTGAACTGACAAAAGTCGGACCCTTCTCAAGGCTGAAGCTGCGCCTGTTGCAAAAGTGCTTGAGAGGAACCCACCGTCTCCTTTTGGGTAGCAAGGTCGTGGGGGGAAAAGCCAGTTTACTAAGGCAGCAGCTGGTCGTGCTAGGATCAGCCATGTTGCACCTGTGTCTATTGAAAGCATTTGTTTGCGGGATCACTTAGTAACTTAAGCTTCACTGATCCTTTCCTTTCATCCTCCCTGGTTATTTTTCATCACTCCCTTTTTTAAAACTTGTTTTAATGCCCTCCAAATCTCTGGCTCTGGAGTTCACCCAGGTAACCATCCAGCATGGCACCCTGGCTGTGTCATCGTGCTTTCACTAGCTGGTGTACCCCAGCCTTGTTCTCGACTGTCTTTCTTGCTGAAGGTCTGAACGGTGGGGAGAGACGCAAGAAGCATCCAGCTCCAAGTACATCTCTACCTTAGGAGAAGGAAGGGATTGGGAATTAATTCAATGCATTCCTTCAAGTCCACCTCTTTTTTTTATTATTTTTATTTTTTATTGATATAAGACTTGAGCAGGTCTCTGGGAAACTATACAGTGTTTTTTCTCTTTTGCATTTTAATGATTGATTTTTAAGCATTCCCTTTCCCTGCATTCCTCCTCCAGTAAGGGATGAAATGAATTTCCATTAGAGCAGGGTTCTGGTGTGATCTTTTTAAATGCCTGAATAAGAACTCTACGGCTAAGTAAAGCATCACAGCTTACTTCGTATGTAGTATTTTAAAAGGGTTTTAAGTTCCCAAAGTATAGGAAGATGAAAGGCTGTGAACTCTTGGACAGTGAAGTTTAAGCTACTTGACCTGACTGCCTCTTGAAATGGATTTTTTTTTGTATTAAGTGCTTCTAGTTTTTTGCCTCCTGTTTGTTAACCCTGGATTTGTATATTTGTAAATGTGCTGTACTGTTTCCTATGGTGACAGTGTACCTAGTGTTGAAGCCGCTGCTTGCACCTTCCTGAAATGAGGTTTTTCTCATTTTATGTATAATTTTGTCAACTAAAAAAGAAAACCCAAGCAAATTTCATGGGACTCCGTCTGCAGGCAACTCTAGACTCCGTGTTTTTTCTTAACCAGATGTCTGATGTAAACATACTCACCTCCCCCTGCCTTGAGCACTGTGCTCCCTCCCTCCCACTTTGTGCAGTTGTAATCTGACCATCCCCTCTGCCTGAGTCCCCTGGGCCCTACTCTTTGTGCAGTTGTAATCTGACCATCCCCCTGCCTGAGTCCCCTGGGCCCTACTGTGACGTCTAAGGCCTCCTCTTGCCTACTTCGAAGTGTAGGCTGTAGCGCTGCCTTGGTGCGCACAGGCTCAAAAAGTGAGGGTGGGGGGTGGATTATTAGCAGAGGGTTATGCTTAAGTGTGCCCCTCTGGGGTCAGTGTGTGTGTGTGGGGGATGTCCAATCTGACCATCCCCCTGCCTGAGTCCCCTGGGCCCTACTGTGACGTCTAAGGCCTCCTCTTGCCTACTTCGAAGTGTAGGCTGTAGCGCTGCCTTGGTGCGCACAGGCTCAAAAAGTGAGGGTGGGGGGTGGATTATTAGCAGAGGGTTATGCTTAAGTGTGCCCCTCTGGGGTCAGTGTGTGTGTGTGGGGGATGTCCTGTGTGCACCCTGCTGTGCCACATGCCGTGAGACAGCTGGCTTAGGGC